TTAGCTAACAATTTTTAAAAGCTATAGAAAATGTTACATTTTCACTAGAATTTGTGCCGGACTCTGATAAGTCCTTAACATATGCTACAATTTTCCAACTTTAAAGCATAACTTAAAGTTAAGTGGTTTTTATTTTTCCTTTTCAATATAGAATTCTTTAAATCAAATATAATTTCCAACTAAAACAACATTGATATATTTGAAGCGATTTCCCAGGCTTTAAAATAACTCCTTAATGTATACAACCACAAAGTATGCTGCACAAAACGAAAAAACAAATTGTATTCAATAAAAATAAGTTTTATCTGTTTAAGCTTTTTAATGTGACAACATTATAAAGAATTTTTTCTTGCTGCTTTTTGTCTTCTTTGCAAAATTGTTATCTCCTTCTGCTAACCTGGTTTTTTCCACAACGATTTAGCAATTAATACAATTTCCTGGACATTCCTTTATGGCACTATTTTTCTTCCTGTCTCTCTCTCTTTCACTGTGCTATGATTTCCATAGTTAAAAGCAATGTTGTTTAAACTTTGTCTGCTATTTAGTGTTGTATTTTTTTGTTGAGTTTTGCTTATAACCAAGAGATACTTTTAGATATTTCTTGGCAATTATGTTAATTTCCAATGCAAATAACATTTAATTGAAGTGTTGGTAGTGTTTTTTTTATTTTTTATATTTTTTACTTTTTATGTATGGTTTTGTATACATTTTTTTCCTTCAGCTTTAGACCACACCTTAACACCAACACAAATGGTATTAAAAATGTAACCATATTTTCTGATATTACCGGAGTAAAAATAATATGCAAATACTATTTAATGGTAATTGCAGCTAAAGCTAAAAGTATTAATTGCCAATAATTATATTGGTTTTAGTTACATTTATTTATATTTTTTTACTGCTAAGCAGATATATTTTCTATTAAATATTTAAATTTAATAAAACTTATAGAAAAATATTGCTCCTTAACATATGCTCTATTTACTTTTAATGTATGTTGCCTTAAAGTATGTTTTATATTATTTCTACATAATTAAACTCTAAAATGCTTAAGTGTGTTTTTTTCTTCCTCTAAACAAATGTTAGTTTGTATGTTTTACCATTTTTCTAACCAACCAATGTGGTCAGGTCGCTACATTACAGCCAGCAGACTCTTAACGTGCTTAATCGAAACTTAATTTATGACTGGCAGCAATATTTTTTTCTTCATTTTAACTCATTTTTCTTTTAATTTACTTTTTTTTATTCGTTATTATTATATTACTCCCTCTAAAGTGAATGTCCTGTTTTATAAAATAACAAACCTTGCACTAGCTTGGCAAAAAACCATTGCATAGTTGTAGGTGTTATAAAAAGCCAACCATTTAATACACTAAATTAAAAAAAAGTAAACATACACAATTACAAAAGTATAGGAAAACACACACACATACTCTTACAAAAAAAATGAAATTTATTTCTCTCCCTCTCTCGCTCTGGTCTTATTCAATGATGTGTAATGAATTAACTTTTTAACATATTTACTAGTGTTCAATTGCATATGCTAAGGAGGGTTTGATAAAATATATGTGCTGCATACACATACATACATGCATAGTAGTTAAATACTATGGACATTCCTTTAGGTTCGTTGGCTTGCATTATGTGGAATGGACTTACTCCACATGCATACTATATAACGAGTTTTTTCCATAATACTACTTGTTTAATAAGTTGGGACAGTCAGTTGTGAAATACTTATAATAGTGTTGGCTGGTATTGGTGGTCGATAATGCAGTTGACTTCCTGTTGGTTCCATTCATATACTCATACTTAATTCATTGTATGCAAAATGTTCAATTTTTTTAATTTTTTTTTGTTTACTTATAACATCATATGGCTGTCATAAAATATTACATGTTACTGAGATTTCTATACATTATGTTTTAATATTAATAAAGTTTGTGCAATTCTGAAAATATAAATAATGAGATTTTTTTTTAACTTACTATGTAAATCAAATAAGATGAAAAAAAAATTTAGTAAATCCTTAACTTCTTAATATAAACCAATAAATTTTTAAATTTCGATTCCATAATATTATTATAATAGTCAAGAACATATTACGGACTATAGTTTACCCCATAGTCTATATGTTTGTATTATCCATAGACTAGAAAAGTCTCATTTTAGGCCATGGTATTGTCAATAGTCTTGTCCATAGTCTAGTCCACTATAGTTTATAGTCTAGTCTATAGTCTAGTTTATAGTCTAGTCTATAGTCTAGTCTATAGTCTAGTCTATAGTCTAGTCTATAGTCTAGTCTATAGTCTAGTCTATAGTCTAGTCTATAGTCTAGTCTATAGTCTAGTCTATAGTCTAGTCTATAGTCTAGTCTATAGTCTAGTTTATAGCCTAGTCTATAGTCTAGTCTATAGTCTAGTCTATAGTCTAGTCTATAGTCTAGTCTATAGTCTAGTCTATAGTCTAGTCTATAGTCTAGTCTATAGTCTAGTCTATAGTCTAGTCTATAGTCTAGTCTATAGTCTAGTCTATAGTCAAGTCTATAGTCTAGTCTATAGTATAGTCTAAAGTAGAGTCTATCGTCTAGTCTATAGTGCAGTCTATAGTCTAGTCTATAGTCTAGTCTAGTCTATAGTCTAGTCTATAGTCTAGTCTATAGTCTAGTCTATAGTCTAGTCTATAGTCTAGTCTATAGTCTATTCTATAGTCTAGTCTATAGTCTAGTCTATAGTCTAGTCTATAGTCTAGTCTCTAGTCTAGTCTATAGTCTAGTTTATAGCCTAGTCTATAGTCTAGTCTATAGTCTAGTCTATAGTCTAGTCTATAGTCTAGTCTATAGTCTAGTCTATAGTCTAGTCTATAGTCTAGTCTATAGTCAAGTCTATAGTCTAGTCTATAGTATAGTCTATAGTATAGTCTATCGTCTAGTCTATAGTCTAGTCTATAGTGCAGTCTATAGTCTAGTCTAGTCTAGTCTAGTCTATAGTCTAGTCTATAGTCTAGTCTATAGTCTAGTCTATAGTCTAGTCTATAGTCTAGTCTATAGTCTAGTCTATAGTCTAGTCTATAGTCTAGTCTATAGTCTAGTCTATAGTCTAGTCTATAGTCTAGTCTATAGTCTAGTCTATAGTCTAGTCTATAGTCTAGTCTATAGTCTAGTCTATAGTCTAGTCTATAGTCTAGTCTATAGTCTAGTCTATAGTCTAGTCTATATAGTCTAGTCTATAGTCTAGTCTATAGTCTAGTCTATAGTCTAGTCTATAGTCTAGTCTATAGTCTAGTCTATAGTCTAGTCTATAGTCTAGTCTATAGTCTAGTCTATAGTCTAGTCTATAGTCTAGTCTATAGTCTAGTCTATAGTCTAGTCTATAGTCTAGTCTATAGTCTAGTCTATAGCCTAGTCTATAGTCTAGTCTATAGTCTAGTCTATAGTCTAGTCATAGTCTAGTCTATAGTCTAGTCTATAGTCTAGTCTATAGTCTAGTCTATAGTCTAGTCTATAGTCTAGTCTATAGTCTAGTCTATAGTCTAGTCTATAGTCTAGTCTATAGTCTAGTCTATAGTCTAGTCTATAGTCTAGTCTATAGTCTAGTCTATAGCCTAGTCTAGTCTATAGCCTAGTCTAGTCTATAGCCTAGTCTAGTCTATAGCCTAGTCTAGTCTATAGCCTAGTCTAGTCTATAGTCTAGTCTATAGTCTAGTCTATAGTCTAGTCTATAGTCTAGTCTATAGTCTAGTCTATAGTCTAGTCTATAGTCTAGTCTAGTCTATAGTCTAGTCTATAGTCTAGTCTATAGTCTAGTCTATAGTCTAGTCTATAGTCTAGTCTAGTCTAGTCTAGTCTGTAGTCTAGTCTATAGTCTAGTCTAGTCTATAGTCTAGTCTATAGTCTAGTCTATAGTCTAGTCTATAGTCTAGTCTGTAGTCTAGTCTATAGTCTAGTCTATAGTCTAGTCTATAGTCTAGTCTATAGTCTAGTCTATAGTCTAGTCTATAGTCTAGTCTATAGTCTAGTCTTTAGTGTAGTCTATAGGCCAGTCTTTAGTGAGTCTAGTCTATAGTCTAGTATACCTACCATCCCCTAAAAAAATATGTCTGTCATATTTGCATTTCCATACACGGTACAGGCATTAACCAGTCCTAAATATAATACAACATTAGTTAACATGAATATCATTATTAATGTGTAGAAAAAATTCATAAATTTTCAATTGACTTAATTAAATTATATTTTCATTTATTTGTATAATTACAACATACAACAATTGTTGCATGAATGTTGAATTATAAACAGCAACAGTCAGATATTAAAAATATAAATGAATTACAATCATCATCATCATCGCTGCATCACAAATGTTTACAGAGATTCATTCCATTTTACGCTGAATGGCCCTTAAACAGAAAAACTTAAATGTGGGTGTTAAAATTATCATTACCAGCATCAGGCTGGACACTCTCATTGCAAAGTGTTTACTTGGTGATGTTCCTTTTGAACACGTACTTAACAACTATACAACATTTTCATTTATTTCAATTACACTTTTTCTGTTGTTGTTGTTTTTTTTAATATAATGTAAACTTGCCGGAACAATTGGTATTGGTATTATCTGGGTGTAAATAAGTTTAAATATTGTCAGCGTTTTTAATTTTTAATTTAATTTTGTTAATTTTTAACACAGTTGTCATATAAGAGCTTAAGTAGCTTGCATCATGTCAACCAACATGTTTGATTACACTGTAATGTATGGAATACCTCATACCTTGTGACAATGTAAACAAACGAACAACAATAATAACCATTCATTTGTTTACATTTGTAGGCAAGTGTTCCTTGCATCATACACTGCCAGAACACAGTATAATATAAAGCTGTGAGCACACTGATACTGCAGTGAATGAATGTGAGACTGAGCTCATATTTATACTGACAATTATTTAATAATAATCATATGTAATAATATGACAGTTACTTTTTGTCTATAGAACCCAGCAAAATGTTTTTGAGTGTAAGATAACGTAGTTTGGTCTACAGTGTAGTCTGTAGTCAAGCCTCTAGTCTACTCAATAGTCTAGATTATAGTCTAGTCAATAGTCTGGTTTATAGTTTAGTCTAGAGTTTAGTTTAGACTATAGTCTAGTCTATAGTCTAGTCTATAATCTAGTCTATAGTCTAGTCTATAGTCTAGTCTATAGTCTAGTCTATAGTCTAGTCTATAGTCTAGTCTATAGTCTAGTCTATAGTCTAGTCTATAGTCTAGTCTATAGTCTAGTCTATAGTCTAGTCTATAGTCTAGTCTAGTCTATAGTCTAGTCTAGTCTATAGTCTAGTCTATAGTCTAGTCTATAGTCTAGTCTATAGTCTAGTTTATAGTCTAGTCTATAGTCTAGTCTATAGTCTAGTCTATAGTCTAGTCTATAGTCTAGTCTATAGTCTAGTCTATAGTCTAGTCTATAGTCTAGTCTATAGTCTAGTCTAGTCTGTAGTCTAGTCTATAGTATAGTCTACAGTATAGTCTATAGTCTAGTCTATAGTCTAGTGTATAGTCTAATGTATAGTCTAGTCTATAGTCTAGTCTATAGTATAGTCTATAGTCTAGTCTATAGTCTAGTCTATAGTCTAGTCTATTGTCTAGAGCATAGTCTAGTCTATAGTCTATACTAGTCTAGTCTATAGTCTAGTCTATAGTCTAGTCTATAGTCTAGTCTATAGTCTAGTCTATAGTCTAGTCTAGTCTATAGTCTAGTCTATAGTCTAGTCTAGTCTATAGTCTAGTCTATAGTCTAGTCTATAGTCTAGTTTATAGTCTAGTCTATAGTCTAGTCTATAGCCTAGTATATAGTCTAGTCTATAATATAGCCCGTAATATATTCTATAGTGTGGTCTGCATTCTAGTTTATAGATTAGTCTATAGTCTATTTGATAGTCTAGTCTATGATCTAGCCCATAATCTGGTCTATAGTTTAGTCTATAGTCTTGTCTACAGTCTGGTCTACAGTGCAGTCCATAGTCTAGCCTCTAGTGTAGTCAATAGTCTAGTTTATAGTCTAGTCAATAGTCTGGTCTATAGTCTAGACTATAGTCTAAAGTGTAGTTTACAGTTTATTTCAGTCTATAATGTAGTTTATGTTCTAATCTTTAGTCAAGTCTGTAATCTGGTCTATAGTCTAGTCTGCAGTCTAGTTTACAGTCTGGTCTATAGTCTGGTCCATAGTCTAATCTATAGTCTAGTCTGTAGTCTAGTTTATAGTCTGGTATTACAGTTTATTCTATAGTCTAGTCTATAGTCTAATTTATAGTCTAGTATACTGTCTAGTCCATAGACTAGTCTTTAGTATAGTCTGTTGTCTATTCGATAGTCTAGCCTATAGTCTATAGTGTGGTCTGCAGTCTAGTTTATAAATTAGTCTATGGTCTAGTTTATAGCCTAGTCTAAATTATAGTCTAGTCTAAGATCTTGCCCATAAACTGGTCTATAGTCTTGCCTACAGTCTGGTCTACAATGTAGTCTATAGTCTTGTCTATCTTGTCTTAAGTCGTTCCTATAAGTCTTGCTGGGTTATGGTCGACATTTAAATACCTCCATCTGTAATTTAATGTTTTAATTTTTTCATGTGTTTTAACTTCATTATATATGTTAAATACAAATAATTGTTATTATAGATTTCATGAAATAATTCCATAAATATTACACTTGTTGCATATTCAATTTATGGCAAATAAATTTAACTTAAACAACAATAAAAATATTTTATATTTAAATACTGTACTGAAACTTTAATAATTAAATTATTTGCACATTTATTAAAACAATATTTTTTTCGTATACTTTCAGGATTATGACAAAGAAATACCACCTCATAAGATACATTCACCCCTGGGTAATAGTATCTCGGATATGTCCCTGCAGTATGCCACCGATGAAAAAGATCATCTTAAGGAATTGGAATTTTATAAAAATTTAGCTAAGGCCGCCTCATTGGCCTCACAAAATAACAATAATAATAATAATAATAACAACAATAGTAACAACAATAATAATTTAATAAATAATGAAAAATCACCTTTACCTCAACATTCAAGCAGCCATCATCATAATCAACATCTGCAAAGTGCTAATAGTAATAGCCAACAATTACCCTCACCTGCTACATCACCACAACCTATGCAAATTGATACGGAGCTACATCCGCATCATCTTACGATAAATGATGAGGATAATGATCAGCAGCATCATCCTCATCATCATCACGAGAAGAGACTTGATGATGATGTTCATATTTTGACTGATAATGATGCTGAAATGGTGGACGGTCCCACAGATCAGGCTAAAGCTTCGGCTTTGGCTGCAGCAGCTGCGGCAGCACAAGCTCATCTAAATGGAACTAGTGAGTACATATCGAAATCCAATTTTATATACTAATATAGACAAAAAATACACACAAAACATGAACAATTTTGGTTAGAAAGCTTATTTTGTACAAAACTTTCTTAAAAAAAAGCTTTGAAAACTATTTTTGTTAAAAAGCTTACTTTGTATAAATGTTTTTAAAAAGCCCTTTTTGGAAAAATTTTTATGAAAAATCTTCGAAAATAATTTTTGTTAAAAAAAGCTTTTGAAAAGCTCATTTCGAAAAATTTTCTTTAAAAAACTGCTTTTGGAAAATGCTTTTTTGAAAACACCTCATACAAAACAAAACTTTAGTTAAAAAAATCTTTTAGGAAAAAGCTTTTGCAAAAAAAGCTCTCATTGTAAAAATTTTTCGAAAAATATTATTTTTGTTTAAAGCTTTGACTTTTTTTGTTAAAAACTTGCGTGCAACATTGTAAACTAATCTACACCTAACACTCACTCACCAACATTGCTATTAACATCCTGACCCTGAGTCTTTATAACCTCTACCGATTCTCTTTCCATTGTAGTGCAAGAAATGTTAAATTTACAAAAATTACAAAATCTCTCAACATTTCAACAAGAACAAAATGTAGGCAATAGTGCAGCCACGGCAGCAGCCTTAGCTAGTTTACAGGGTTTGGCCGCCGGCATAACAGCCAGTGCGGCAGCAGCTGCCCTTAATTCACCTTTAAATCTAAGTGTAGCCAGCAATGGTGGTCTGCCACAGATGGCCACGGATCTTTTGAATTCGCACAAAGCCATGACACAATGTGCCAGCGGTAGTGCGGGCAATAGTAATAGTGGTGACAATCAAAATACGGCAGGATCCTCTTCACCACATGGCAATAGCGCGGGCCTCAACTCTGCTGGAGGACAATCAGCTTCTTCTACGCAAAATACTTTAGCCAATGTTTTAAATAATGCAGCAGCAGCGGCGGCGGCAGCTCAAGGTACAGCAGCAACCGCCTCACCACCTCCTCAGCTGCAAGCACCACCAGCCAGTAACCAAATGCCTCAACTGATTTTGGCCTCAGGGCAATTGGTTCAGGGAGTGCAAGGCGCTCAACTATTAATACCCACAGCTCAGGGTAATTATTTTAAAAATTATGAAAGCTTGTCTTTATTTAAGTTTCTGTTTATCTCTCTCTTTTATAGGCATAGCTGTGCAAACCATACTCACTATACCAGTTAGTCCACAAATCAATACCAACGAACAATTTCTTACGAACTTTGGAGCCTTTACTGGCTTTCCTCCACAACAGCCTACACAGCCTCAAATGTTAAGCTCTTCAACGGCTCATTTACCTTCGCCTTTGGCAGCTCTTCATCAACCACCCACCTTGCCTCAGCTTGCCCAAGCACCAACGAATTTACTAAAACCAAATCTCTTCTCTAACGGAGTGCAACAGCTTTTGGCTGCTTTGCATCCTGAGTTATTTGCAGCAGCTGCAGTCAATCATCATCATCAACAACAGCATCAGCAACAACAACAGCAGCAGCATCAACAACAGCAACAACATAACACTTCACAACATGGCCAAGCCATGTCTAGCCATCATCATGATTTGCACTTAAGAACGTCGAATGAAAGATCCCCGCCTTCTTCTCCCACAAATAGTACAAAAGCAGCTGCTGCGGCGGCGGCTGCTGCAGCAGCAGCTTTTCATTTGCAGTCTCAGTTGCACATAAAACCTGAGACCCAACCACATCTGCATCCTCATCATCATGCTGCTGCGGCGGCAGCAGCTCTACATCATCATACTCAGGCTCTTAGACATGCTGAAGGTTTGGCTTCACCGAAATTGGAGTGTAAACCTAATGTTCACTTAACAGCGGAAACTTCTTCAAATTCACCTCCACCCTTGGGTAGACATCAATTTGGTGGCCACCATCGTTTGGCGGGCTCCTCATCATCGCCTCGTCCTTCGTCCTGTGCTTCCAGCAGTATGACCTTAAGAGAAAGAGAGTCACGAGAACAACATTCCATGAAAATGAGTCCTTTACGCTGTGGCAGTGCCTCGGGTAGTGGCATGAATTTGAGTCAACTAGGCAGTGAAAGAGAAAAGGAACGTGAAAGGGAAAGAGAACGTGATCGCGATAAAGAAAGAGAACGTGAACGCGAAAGTCATAGAGAGCGTGATCGCGATAGAGATCGTGAGCGCATCCGAGCTGCTTCACCTGCCACTTTAAATGCACGCAGTGCGGCCGCTTCGCTGGCTAAAGAGGCTTCGAATGCAGCAGCAAATGCTGCCAACTCGAATTCATCCATGACATCCAATTGCAACGAAAGAGGCTTTTCATCTCCAGTAGGCTCCAGCTCGGCCAGCCAAATATATCGTACACATTCTCCACACCTGTCGCATCATTCTCTAAGCCAACAACCTTCACATACACACCAAATATTAGACTCACCGCCACCTAGAGATTTTCTGGGCAATGGAGTGGGTTTAATGTCGGCCTCCTCAGGTGCCACCACAGCCACTTCAACAACAGCTAATGTACTTAGTAATATAAATAGGTGGGTTTGGCAATTGAAAAATCTTCTTTAATTTAAATTTTCATTAATTTTCCTTTATTTGCAGACTCTCCTCTTCGAATGGTGAATTGAGTATAACAAAATCCCATGGTCCACCAACTGCCACCGCCACACGAGCCTCCTCAGCCTCACCCACCTCTCCTGCGGGACCAACTACAAGTTCTCTTTCAAATCCTTCCTCCTTACATCATCATAATCCACATCATTCTATGCATTCCATGAAACTAAGTCCCACTACCAGCGCTGTGTTGCATCAGCAACGTGAAAGAGAGCGCGAAAGAGAACGGGAGCGTGAAAGGGAGCGTATGCAGGATCAACAACCACCACCGCCCATATCACCCAATGGCACAGAAGGTTCAATGGGTGCTCACGATTTACTAATGGATTCACCGAGTGAGTAAAGATCGTTTTCACAAGATTTTTTCTTCTTCAAATTAAATTAACTTAAGTTGAGGGCTAGTTTTGATGTAAAAGGTCTCTTTGATCTCTAATAACTTGAAATATTAAAAATGTAATTTGTTGATTTTAATATTTTAAGTTTTTTGGCTTTTTATCTAAAAGTTTATTATTAACTTTATCTTTTATAGCCTCCCACTCGCAAAATCTAAACAATATTGACAGTTTTTGGTTTATAACTAAAAGTTTTTAGCTTCGTGCTAATTTCCAATTAGTTGATGAATGAACACTGTGTGTTTCCTTACCTTTACAATAACACCTTTGCTTAAATGAATCAGTAAATTAGGGAGGTATCCTTTTTAAAGGGAAATTTCGAAATTTAGTGATTTTGAAGAATTTTAAGTTTTATTCAATAGATTAAGAAAATTTATAAATAGATTTTTAAAATTATATTAAGACTAGATAAGGATATAAGTATTGAGATGTGGTTTAAGATTACTCCCTAATATTTAAAATATAAAGCAACTTACTTAATACATTTTAACATATGAGTGACATTAAGTCTTTGCTTTCCCTCAAAATAACAGAAAATGCAATTTTACCAAGATTTATGTTTAGAATTACGACTAAGAAATTTTAACAAAAGATTATGCTTAAAGAAAAAAAAAGAAACTTTCAAGGTATAAAACGACATCAACGCGTAATTTTCGACAAGAAGTTTTACCTTAAAAATCATCAACAACAACATCTGCCTGCATCATTCATTAGCTTTTAGTTTCTTAACGTCTTTGTTGTTTAAATCCTATTCGAAAAAGGGAAAAGTTTTTAGTTTCTGCCGTCTTGCCTGCTTCTTGTACGTAAAATTTTGGCAACAATTATTTTTGGCAATATTTTAAGTTTAATTAACGTTACAAAACTTGGTTAAATATAATTGTGGATTTATGTGAAAAGGTAAATTGCCAAAAAAAAATAATCTCAAAAAATAAACTTTATTTTGTTTTGTGTATGAACAAGTGTTTACATGAGTTTTTATTTGAATTTTGTATATGCCAAACAAAAATTTTTCAGATTCAGATTCAGCTGATTTACAATTTGATTTGTTTTATACATATATTTTTTTGTTAATTTTTTCTATTTTTCAAATCTGGTTGCTTATGTTCTTAATAATTCTACCAAAAATTTTAATTGCAATTTATTTGTATGTGGGAAAAAAAGTATTTGATTACACAATTGACCCTTTTTATACACAAACATATGCTGCTGCTTTTTTTGGAATTTTTATGCCAACCATATATATGTGGTTAGTTTCCAGCGCTGTGTACAATTTATTTTTTTTTTACCTTTTTATATTATTTTTTTAATGGTTTGTTAGTTATTTCCATTATGGTTATTGATTATTTACTCTTCGGAGTATTGACTTGGTACGGGTCAGGTGGTTGGGTGAAATGCAAATGATACTTATATATGTTTGAAATCAAAAATGAAAATCAAAAAAAAAAAAAAGCACAAAAAATGAGAACTTTCATTATTTTGTTGTTGATTGGATTAATTTATGGAAATGATGTTGAAATAAAAAAAAAATAATAATCCAAATAAAACTTTATTTAGTATGAAAGGTTGCTGACCACTCATTCTATGCTTCATATATGAATGCTTTTGAATATTTGTGTAAAATTATGGAAATTTTTTAGAAAGCAAACAACAAAAATTTTAGTTATTGGTATTGCACTACATACTTAACAACATATACATATACTTAATCAAAATCTGGACAATAGTCAAAACTATAGTCTGGACTATAATCAAAACTGGACTATAGTCCAAACATATTCTGGACTATAGCCTAAACTATGGCCTGATCTATAGTCTGGGTTATAGTCTTATCAATAGTCTGTACTATAGACGTATCTATTTATCTATTCTGTACTATAGGCTAAACTTTAGTCTGGACTATGGTCTAAACTGTAGTGTACTTTAGTGTGGACTATGGTCTAAACTTTAGTGCGGACTATGGTCTAAACTGTAGTGTAAACTATAGTATGAGTTATAATCTGGACTATAGTATAAGCTATAGTCTGGACTAAACTATAGTCTGGACTATAGACTAACTATGGTCTCGACTATAGTCTAAACTTTAGTCTGGACTATGGTCTAAAGTGTAGTGTAAACTATAGTATGTGTATAGTATAATCTGGACCATAGTCTAAGCTATAGTCTAGACTAATGTCTAAACTATAATATGGACTACAGACTAAACTATAGTCTGGACTATATGCTAAGCTGCATTCTGGGCTTTAATCTGCTCTATAGACTAAACTATAATCTGGATTACTAGACTAGACTATAGTCTGATCTGTAGTCTGGATTATAGACTAACCAATAGTCTACAATATAGTTCAAACTATAGCCAGGACTACAGACTAAACTATAGTCTGGACTTTAGACCAAACTATAGTCTGGACTTTAGACCAAACTATAGTCTGGACTTTAGACCAAGTACCATCTAAACTATCACCTTTACTAAATATAGTCGAAACTGTAGTATGCACTATAATTTTCACTTTAGTCGGGTCCTTAGCCTAACTATGGTCTGATCTCTTGAATGAATTATTACCCAAATATATACAATTAAATAATTACTATCTTTAAATATAAAATATAGCTTTCTTCGTTTCACCCTTAAGTTGTCTTCGTATTTAAAACAAACTATCTTAACTATTCCCTCTAGCTATTGTAAAACATTAGACAAAAACTTTGTCAAAATCTTAATAGCTTGAAAGCCTAATTTGTTTTGAAAATTTGTCAGTATTGTAAACATATCAATGATAATAATTTATAACAGCAACTATTAAACAACAGCAAAAAATTATTAAAACTAACACGTTTCCTCAAATAACAACATTTAAGCAAACTTTGCAAACAACAACCAACAGCAACTGCATTTTAAAATAGCAAATTTCCCAAATTTTGTGATTCATTTAAGTATTAATGATATGCAATAACAACAACAACAACAGCAGCAACATCTACAAGACAAATACCTAAAATTCAACAACATCAACAGCAAAGTCATTAAAGCACAACATCACAGCCACCAACCACAACTCTCACTTAAGGAAGTAGTAGTAATACAACTTGATGACTTCAGTTGTATATTTTTAAGAACCTAAAGTAGCTGATGATGATATTTCAACAGGCACTTGTTACAATCTTGAAGAAGCGAAAGAATGAACAAACATCTTAGAGTAGTAAAACTTAAATAAGTTTTTGATTCTATATAATTACAGCAGCAAAAGCAGCACAGTTAAAATCTTCCCTTTCTTAGTGTTTTATGTATAGTTTTATAAAAGTGTTAAAATAAAAGACAGCTTAATGTATTGTTTATATAGCATCTTAATACCAAATTTACACGTACTCCCTCAGTCTTATTTACGATTACTTGCTTCACAGATTAAGTTCGCTGCTGCAACATGTTCTTCATATAATGGCGCTTTTTGGAGGCATTGAAATAATTTATATTAGATTTATTTAAATTTTAGCAACATGATAAGTTTTTTACTCATCCTTAGCTGTTAGAGGGAAAAGGGCTGGGGAAAGAAAACTCATGTCATTAAATATAGTATAATTCTTTCTTAAGTTTTACTAACGTAATAAACATATAAGTACACGTAAGTAAATTTAGTGCATCTACTGTGAAAAAACATAAGTTTTGTAAACGTCAATTAGCAGTAATTAAGCACAATATTGTTACTGACAATACTTAGCGGGGAAACAGACCCTGCAGTTTTAACAAGATCGGTTTTCACAATACATAGTTTGAAATAGTCTAGACTACAGTCAAGACTATATACTGGGCTATAGTCTGGACCATAAACTGTACTATAGGCTTGACGATAGTCTATACTATAGACTTGACCATAGTCTGTGCTAAAGTCTGGGATATAGTCTGGACTATAATCTGTACTGTAGTATGGAATATAGTCTAAACTATAGTCTGTACTACAATCTGTTCTATAATCTAGACTTTAGTCCTGTACTATAGTATGGACTATAGTCTGGACTATAGTATGGACTATAGTCTGGACTATAGTATGGACTATAGTCTGGACTATAGTCTGTACTATAGTCTGTACTATAGTATGTACTATAGTCTGTACTATAGTCTGTACTATAGTCTGTACTATAGTCTGTACTATAGTCTGTAGTATTGTCTGTACTATAGTCTGTACTATAGTCTGGACTATAGTCTGGACTATAATCTGGACTATAGTCTGGACTATAATCTGGACTATAGTCTGGACTATAATCTGTACTATAGTCTGTACTACAATCTGGACTATAGTCTGTACTATAGTCTGGACTATAGTCTGTACTATAGTCTGTACTATAGTCTGTACTATTGTCTGTACTATAGTCTGTACTATAGTCTGGACTATAGTCTGGACTATAATCTGTACTATAGTCTGGACTATAGTCTGTACTATAGTCTGGACTATAGTCTGTACTATAGTCTGGACTATAGTCTGTACTATAGTCTGGACTATAGTCTGTACTATAGTCTGGACTATAGTCTGGACTATAGTCTGGACTATAGTCTGGACTATAGTCTGTGCTATAGTCTGGACTATAGTCTGTACTATAGTCTGGACTATAGTCTGTACTATAGTCTGGACTATAGTCTGTAGAATAGTATGTACTATAGTCTGTACTAAAGTCTGTACTAAAGTCTGTACTATAGTCTGTACTATAGTCTGGACTATAGTCTGGACTATAGTCTGTACTATAGTCTGGACTATAGTCTGTACTAAAGTCTGGACTATAGTCTGGACTATTGTCTGAACTATAGTCTGGACTATAGTCTGGAATATAGTCTGTACTATAGTTTGGACTATAATCTGTACTGTAGTCTGGACTATAGTCTGTTCTGTAGTCTGGACTATAGTCTGTACTGTAGTCTGTACTATAGTCTGTACTGTAGTCTGTACTATAGTCTGTACTGTAGTCTGTACTATAGTCTGTACTATAGTCTGGACTATAGTCTGTACTATAGTCTGTACTGTAGTCTGTACTATAGTCTGTACTGTAGTCTGTACTATAGTCTGTACTGTAGTATGTACTATAGTCTGGACTATAGTCTGTACTATAGTCTGGACTATAGTCTGTACTATAGTCTGTACTGTAGTCTGTACTATAGTCTGTACTATATAGTATTGACTATGGTGTGTATTATAGTCTGTTTAGTCTTGGCTAAAGTCTGTACTGTATGTAGTCTTGAGTATAGTCTGTGCTACAGTCTTGACTATAGTATTCACTATAGTCTGTAATGTAGTGTTCACTATAGTCTGTACTTTTCCCCTAGTAATCTATAACGGAACTAGTTATGTTGCATTTCCCGAGGTGTCTATACTTTAGCGCTAGAAATGTTTCTATTTAAAAGTCATTCTAATTATTTCTTTAATTAACATTACCTTATTAAATAAACTACATCATCATCAGCAGCATTAACATCATATGGCTGCAGTAGCAGTTAATTATAAAACGTTAATAAAATTTAGCTAATTACCACAATTACCTAACATTATGACGGAGCGGTAACGGTAATAACAGTTACGCCAGCAGTAGCAACTGTTGCTGACTAATGTCTTAGCAGTTCTATTTTAACTCAATTAGTGTTGTTGATAAAATGCAACAAGTCAAATATAATTTACTAGGGTTTTTTAAGTAGTTCTTAAGTTAAATATTTTACACCTTTTATTTTCTACTTAGAGTTAAAGTAATAAGAATTAAGGTTAGAGTACTTTTAAGAAAATAAGTTAAAATAAGAAGTTTACAAATTTTTAAAGTAAATTTAAGTGTTTAAATTATGAAATTGTTTATTTAAAAATGTTTTATTAACAAATATTTCTTATTGTCTTACTTTTAGATGAACCCACTATTAACCAGGCCACCACCAATATGGTTGATGGCATCGATTTAGATGAGATTAAAGAATTTGCCAAAGCTTTTAAATTGCGTCGTTTATCGTTGGGCTTGACCCAAACTCAGGTGGGTCAAGCACTGTCGGTAACAGAAGGTCCCGCCTATAGTCAAAGTGCCATATGCAGGTAAGATTATACAAAAATTTTGATTTTTATTAAAATTTTCAATTTTATTCATGTTAAACATTGTGTAAGAAATGTCCTTTTTGTTTTAGTTTTATTTTCTTTAATTTCAATTCTTTTTTTGATAAAAAAAAGTTTCTATAACATTTTTCAAATATCTGAAGGGATTTTAGAATAGAGAGTGTAGGACGAAATATTCATTAAATTATTAGGTGATTAAATATTAACATAATGTAAACAGTAATAAAATTAAAAATTTATAAATTATTTTTATTGACAATTTAAATATGAATCTTTAGTCAAAATATTTAATTTTTTTTGTAAAAATTTCAGTTTTTAGAGAAAATTTAAATTTTTTTAGTGAAAATGCTAATTTTAGTAAAAATTTAAATTTATAGTGAAAATTTAAAATTTTGGTGAAAATTTAAATTTTTAGTGAAAATTTATATTCTTAGTAAAAATTTCTATTTTTACCAAAAATTCACTAAAAATTTAATTTCGAATAAAAATTTAAATTTTTTGTTCTTAGTTCTATGTTCCCAAAATTAAAAATTTCGGTTCAAATCTCAATTTTAATAAAATTTGTAAAGATTATCTGAATAAAAATCGGCAATTTTCGGAAATATTAGTATTGCACTAAAACTCCACATTAATTAGTCCTTCGTAAATGAAAATTCATCAATCAATTTGTATGTGAATCCTTTTAAAATATTTCCTATCGAAAATAAGTTTTTATCTGTATATCGCTATCGACCCGCATCAATTTATTGTTTTCATTGTCAGCAAATAAATATTACAATTACCATAGAATCCAATTTTGGTCCAAGTCTCCCTTTTCTTGGATCTTGAGTCTAAATACGCTTAAAATTCATTATATATATTGTAATGTTATTGGTATTATAATAAAACTCGGTATTAACATGTCTTTTATAAACTTTAGAAACTCTGAAAGAATCGGACTATTATAGAATCATGGACTCACATTAAGTCCTTTATTAAAATTCAATATAAAACTAAAAAATCACTTAAAAAGACCATTTTGGTTATTTCCGTCTATCCTATTGGTTATCAATTTTCAAAGGCCCTAGATATCTAAATAATCCATATCGAGGATCAATCTTTCAATCATTCGTTTAATAAGTCTGATAGTAAAAAAATAAGCTTAATCAATCCATAAAAAATATGTATCACAAAACTCCGTTAAACCGTACATAAAATTTTATAAGAATCGGTTATGGACCTAGTCTCTCTTTTGTTGGATCTTAACTCAAATACTCTTTAAATTATTACAAATTTGGAGTGGTATTTGTATACAGTAAAACTTGATGTACATAAGTTTTATAGCAACTTTAGAAACTCTGCTAGAATTGGTTGATTCTAGGACCTTGACCTCCTATTAAGTTCTCTACTAAAATTCAAAATAAATGTTCAAAAATCAAGAGCGCATTTTGGTGATGTGCGTCTGGCGGCATGTTAATTGAAATCAATTTTCAAAGGCCCTTGATATCTAAATGCTCCATATCGTGGGTTAATCTATCTGTCATTTGTTCTAGAATTTCGATAGTAGAAACCGGTTTAATCAGCCCATAAATTAATGAAATGGTGTGATCAAACAGACGATACTACTAAGTTTCACAACAGCATTAATCTTTATATAAATAATAATAAAATTCTATAAAATCGCTCATGGACCCCTTGTCTTTTACCGAAATTTTGAATTCAAATTCATATCTTAACAAATATCCTCCAATCGGTATGTTATCGAAAATAAATTTGCAAAAGCACTCTTATCTAACTAAATCTTGTATTAACCTATCAGACAAACATTTAAGAATTTTACTATTCAAATAATTGCATTAGTCGGTCCACCAAAACCATTAAAGGCTTTAACCTCTCATTAATCTTCCCAAGTTCCGTTTTAAAACTTGAAAATATCTTAAGAGTCGTTAATTGAAGTAAATTTGTCTAAAGTACTAACTTGTTAAGTTAACTTGTTAACTAAAATATTTTATCAGTTTAAGGAGATATATTCGAGAGTTTATGGAGCTTAGTCCACCCATTAACAAATCGATGCAAGTTTAAAAGTTCGATATTTATATGGGCAATATGTATATCAAATGAAAGGTAATTCCAATAAGCTTCCGTTCAAAGTCTTTAAAATCGTCTAAATATTATAGTTTACATTATGTTAACTTTACAAAAATTTACTATTTTTTCAGAATTTGTCATTTAAAAATTTTTACACTAAAGAGTAATTAAATTTTGTTTTATTTACCATGATGCTACATATAATTCTTATATAATTGCCTCATAAAAATTCCAAAAAAAAATTCTTTAAATCTAGTTAAATATTTTTTATTTAAACAACGAAACCCTTAACTTCCCCAAACCCCCCACATTTAAAAAAATTTTATGATTTTTTTAACTTCCTGCTACAAAACAACCAGTATATTTATTATTTATAGTGCCAGGACATTTGTTTAAATAAAAAAAAATAAACTCTAAACTAAACGCTAATTGCTTTTCTAAAATAAATATAATTAATAATATTTTTTTTTTATTTTATTCTTTTTTATATAATCTACCAAAAAACAATAATAAATTGTGCTTTATAAATAAAAATGTGAACAAAAAACAAACCAAAAATAATATTGAAAATCAAATCGAATTGTATTGAAACGTATCGTATGATAAAATAGTGCATTAGCTGCTCAAATGTATGCTGCTCAACTATCGACACAACAACAAAACATGTATGTTGACAAAATAATAAAAATAAATTTATTTAAAAAGGAAAAATAAGTATTTAAATTAACAAATATAAATGCTTTTTTTAACAAAAAAAAAAAGAGATTTTTAAGCTAATTAATAAAATTTAAAAATCTTTTTTTTTAATTAAACGTTTTTCAAACTTTTATTTTCTTTATTTTTAGTATGCGCTAAAGTTTTAAGCTGTTTTTTATATAAACAAGAAATCTTTTTATTGGCCAGGGCATTGCCTTATAAACTTATAATTATATTCAACTCATAATTTAAACAAAAAATATTTTATATTAAACCTAAAATATCAAAAAAATAATTATTTTAAATTTATAATTTTCTTTATGTTTGGCTTGTCTTATAGTAAATTAAAAAAATAACTCAAAAAACCTAAAAAAAAACAAGAATTAAACAATGTCCTGGCACTTTTTTAATTTCCAAATAAGCGCATACTAAAATAAATTTAAAAAAAGAAAACAAAAATCTAAAATTTCAATTAATTTTTTTTTTAATTTTTATTTCAACTTCCATATTTTCCCCTACTCACAGGTTTGAAAAATTAGATATCACACCAAAGAGTGCTCAAAAAATTAAACCCGTTTTAGAACGTTGGATGAAAGAGGCCGAAGAGAGGTGAGAGTATGGATTAAGTTCCTACCACGTTTACTTTTGTTTTTATGCTAAGTTTATACTAACTTTTGGTTTTTCTTTTTGTTGTTTTCTTTTGAAACTTTTTTTAGTCACTGGAATCGTTTTAAATCTGGCCAAAATCATTTAACCGATTATATTGGTGTGGAACCGTCGAAAAAGCGCAAACGCCGCACTTCATTTACACCGCAAGCTTTAGAGCTTTTAAATGCTCATTTTGAGCGTAATACCCATCCATCGGGTGAGTGGTAATTTCAAATTTTACTTTTTTTATATTATAACTTTTCAATCTTTCACTTGTTTTAAGTTTAAGAGCTTTTAATTGGTCCACACATTAAACGCTTTAATTTGTTTAACTAAGCTATAGACTAAAGTATAGGTTAGACTATAGATCAGACTATAGACTAGACTATACTATATACTAGACTATAGACTACACTATAGAGTAGACTATAGACTATACTATAGATTAGACTTCGGACTAGACTATAGACTAGACTATAGACTATTGACTAGACTATAGACTAGACTATATACTAGACTATAGACTAGACTATAGACTAGACTATAGACTAGACTATAGACTAGACTATAGACTAGACTATAGACTAGACTATAGACTAGACTATAGACTAGACTATAGACTAGACTAGACTAGACTATAGACTAGACTAGACTAGACTAGACTATAGACTAGACTATAGACTAGACTATAGACTAGACTATAGACTAGACTATAGACTAGACTAGACTAGACTAGACTATAGACTAGACTATAGACTAGACTATAGACTAGACAATAGACTAGACCATAGACTAGATTATAGACTAGAATATAGACTAGACTATAGACTAGACTATAGACTAGACTATAGACTAGACTATAGACTAGACTATAGACTAGACTATAGACTAGACTATAGACTAGACTATAGACTAGACTATAGACTAGACTAGACTACTATAGACTGGACTATAGACTAGACTATAGACTAGAATAAAAGATAGACTAAAGATTAAATCATAGACTAGACTATATAGTAGACTGTAGACTAAACTATAGAGTAGACTATAGAGAAGCCTATAGACTAGCCTGTAGACTAGACTATAGGGTAGACTATGGACTAGGCTATAGACTAGACTATAGACTAGGCTATAGACTAAACTAGAGTAGACTATAGACTAGACTATAGAGTAGACTAAAGACAAGACAGTAGACTAGACTAGACTATAGACTAGGCTAGACTATAAACTAGGCTATAGAGTAGACTGTAGACTTGGCTATAGACTAGTCTATAGACTAGGCTAAACTAACTAACTAACTAACTAACTAACTAACTAACTAACTAACTAACTAACTAACTACTAACTAACTAACTAACTACTACTACTAACTAACTAACTAACTAACTAACTAACTAACTAACTAACTAACTAACTAACTAACTAACTAACTAACTAACTAACTAACTAACTAACTAACTAACTAACTAACTAACTAACTAACTAACTAACTAACTAACTAACTAACTAACTAACTAACTAACTAACTAACTAACTAACTAACTAACTAACTAACTAACTACTAACTAACTAACTAACTAACTAACTAACTAACTAACTAACTAACTAACTAACTAACTAACTAACTAACTAACTAACTAACTAACTAACTAACTAACTAACTAACTAACTAACTAACTAACTAACTAACTAACTAACTAACTAACTAACTAACTAACTAACTAACTAACTAACTAACTAACTAACTAACTAACTAACTAACTAACTAACTAACTAACTAACTAACTAACTAACTAACTAACTAACTAACTAACTAACTAACTAACTAACTAACTAACTAACTAACTAACTAACTAACTAACTAACTAACTAACTAACTAACTAACTAACTTAACTAACTAACTAACTAACTAACTAACTAACTAACTAACTAACTAACTAACTAACTAACTAACTAACTACTAACTAACTAACTAACTAACTAACTAACTAACTAACTAACTAACTAACTAACTAACTAACTAACTAACTGACTAACTAATTAACTAACTAACTAACAAACTAACTAACTAGCGAACTTGAATAGAGTAGAGAGAAGGCTATAGACTGGAAAAGAGACTACACTAAAGACTAGAATATAGATTTTATTACAGACTAGACTATAGACTAGTCTATATACTGCACTGTATACTAAACTGCATTACTGATTGTAGACTAGACTATAGACTAATGTACAGACTAGTTATAGACTAAATTATAGATTGAGCTGTACACTAACTATAGTTCGCACTAATCACTAGCGGCCTTATGCATAATAAAAAACTAACTGCTGACTAACAAGCTGCCAACTTTCCCTTATGGGAATTTACACACAAAAAGTTAGCAGCAAGATAGTTAGCAGCTCGTTTTTCGTTATGCATAAGGCCGTAGGTTATTAACAAGTTTTAACTTTAGACTAGAGTCGTACCCACGACAATCGATTATTCTCACCGGAATAACTCCGAATTCAACGAACAATGACCAAGGATTGTTAATTTAGCAACACCAATCTTACACGTGTCGCTGCTACAACAACAGATTAGATTAGTCTATAGAGTACATATAATATACCCTAGGCACTAGAGTAGATTATAGGTTATTGACATTTTAGAAACATTGAACCTTCGAAAATTTCTTCATTTGTTTAAAGGAAGTTCTTCTAAAATCTGTGCTTATTTTTTAAAACAAATTTTGAATATAATATCTTATCCTCTATCTTGTACTGAAAGCTTTTCCTAGCCTGGTTTAAATATTTATAACTAATTTATGTTTTTTCTCTTATAACATTTACAGGTACCGAGATTACAGGTCTAGCCCACCAATTGGGCTACGAACGCGAAGTTATACGTATTTGGTTTTGTAATAAACGTCAGGCTTTAAAGAATACGGTGCGTATGATGTCGAAAGGAATGGTTTAAGATTCGATGTATAACAACTGGTAGCAGTAAAAACCGGAAACAGCTAGAAAAAGTTAAAAGCTGAAAATGAAAACAACTGAAAACAACAGCTCTAAATTGTTACCTAAGTTGACACACACACATACAGAAAGCTTAAAGCTTTTTAAAAATGTATATAGAGATTTTAAATATAGTAATTTTTAAATATAATTATTATAATATATAATTAAGCAAATAATATTATGAAAAACAGTTTTTTTAGATATAAATAGATATTCCAAATATAAGAAAAACAATTTCTAAACAAACACTAACACTTTTACTACAAATTCCCAATTAATTATCTAAAACATAAAACGCACTTTCAAAAAACAACCTTTAGAAAACATTGAATATTTTTAAAAACATAAAATTATTAATAACTGTAACTATTATTCAAAATCTATACTTTCTCTAACAACCACAATTTTAGTTTGTATGAATTAGTTCTATTAAGAAAAAAATACCGAATAATTATAGGCCATATGTAAAGGTGTGTCATAGCATTTATCATTTAGTTGTAATAAAACATTAAAATTTAAATAATAATTAAAACTACAAACAAAATTAAGATAATTATAAGTAAGATTGTAATATTATAACATAAATAAGATTTTTATTTGATTTTTTTGCTGTGAACAGCAAAAAACATTACAATTATTATTAAAATTTTAAATTATTTCAACAAAAAAGAAATTAAACGTGCCATTCCAAAATTAAACATAAATAAACAAAAATCCCTTAAAATTTTTTTCCAAAAACTTGTAAAAATTTGTAAGTTTATAACAACTTTAGTTTAATAACTTAAATTTAAAAAAAACAGGTCCTTTTTTGAAAGAAAGCAAAATAACCTTTACCCACAACTAAACCTATAACAAATAAACTTATATTTAAACTTAAACATTAAAAAACATTAATTAGTATTGTACGTAACTTTTATAGCCTAAAAAATATGTAAAAATTAAAAGAAAAAACAACAACAAACTTATGTAAAATTTTATTAACAATTATTTAAACCTTAAAAACAATAGATTCATATGAAATATGTATAACAAACATTACTAAATTAATATTACTTATGACTCATAAGTTATGAGAAAAGAAAAAAACAAGAAAATCTAGCATTTAAAAGAAAACAAAAACAAACGTAATAACGTTCATATTATTTAAAATGATTGTAATAATTAAAAATTAAAAAAAAACAAAACATGAAATAAAGGAATATGTAAAAAAAATATTTAAACAAGAAAAGTGTTTCAATAATCATTAAATAGCAATATGGCAACACCGGCAAAATACATTTTTCGTATCTTACATTTATATATTAACATACAATACAAACCACATCCAAATCGGTTCAGGGGTTTTGATGTTATTAACTTTTAAAAATATAACGGTTTTATACAACTATCACAGGGTGGCAACTCTGGCAAAATAAATTTTTCGTATCTTTCGTACATTCCCTATCATTTGGTGCAAATCTGATTCCAATCGGTTCATTGGTTACAGAGTTATAACATTTTTAAAATAAACTTCTGTTTTACGTAAATTTTGAAGTCCTGGTAACCCTGGTAAAATAATTTTTAATACAACAAGTAGCTGAAATCTATAGCTTTTGATTGACTATAATTTTATGTTAAAAGGTTAATTACTTTCAAAGTTTTACATATTAACAGAAAGCTAATAATATGCAACACATTTCACAAGTCTGGCAACTCTGGTAAAATAAATTTTTCATAACACAAGTAGTCTTAATCACAGCCTATCGATTGACTCCATTCTCATGTAAATCGGTTAAGTATTCTAGAAGTTATAACAATTTTAAAAATCCCTTTCTTAGTCGAATTTTCCAAAACACGGCAGCCCTGTCACTACATCGTGCCAGCGCCATCTATTGGTGGGGTACATGGTTTTTCTGCAAACGCGAAAAATGTGGTCAGCAGACACATTTTTTCAAATTGATATAACTCAGAAACTACTGAACCGATTTTAATGAAACCCATATCAGATTGAAGGGGATAAATAGGAGTTTTCAAAAACTTATTTTACCAGAGTTGCCAGGTTGTCTAAATGTGTGTAAAATAGGTCTGATATTTTCAAAATGATATAACTCCAAAACCAATGAACCGATTTCAACCAGGTTTACACCGTATGCTAGGGTAAATAAAGAAGAAACGAAAACTTTATTTGCCAGAGTTGCCAGGTCTTTGAAATACAAGAAAAAGAGATATATACTGTATAATGTTATAACTCCAAAACTATTGAACTGATTTCGCTCAGGTTTACATTGGATGTTAAGGTATATAAAGAAGAAACGAAAAATTAATTTCTCAGAGTTGCCAGATCTTCGAAATGTGTACACAACTGATACAAACGTAATAATGAACTAATTTCGCTAAGGTTTGCATTGGATGTTATGATACAAGAAGAACATGTAAAAATGTATTTTCAAGAGTTGCCAAGTCATCAAAACGCATGTAAAAGAGATATTCGTATGTTTTTATTATGTTATAAACGTATATTAACGAACGAAAAATTAACAAAAATCATTCAATGAAAAATGGGTTCAATAGTTCTAAAGTTATAAAGTTTTGAAAGTATATATCTGTTTTAGAAAAATAACGAAGATCTGGTAACTCTAGCAAGTAATTTTATAATGTATCCTAACATCCCAGGCAACGTTAACAGTTTAATAACTTTGAAGACGTAATATTTTTTAACTTATCTGTTTTAGTAAAATTTCGAAGGTCTGGCAACTCTGGCAAAATAAGTTTTTTATAACTTATATATTTCATTTAATCTAGTATAGATGCATTCGAAATATGTTCCATAGCTTTACAGTCATAAAGTTTTAAAAATATTTATAGGTTTTACACAACTTCCGAAGGTCTGGCAACGATAAAATGGAAAATAATTGTTTCGTATCTTTATTATATACTCTAATATCCAGAAGAAACCTGGTTAGAATAGGTTCAATAGATTTGGAGTTATAACGTTTTTAAATATATGTAGGTTTTACACAAATTCCGAAGGTCTGGCAACTCTGGCAAATAAATTTTTCACATCTATCTTATACACCCCAACACCCAATGCAAACTTCATCGAAATCGGTTTAAGAGTTTTAGAGTTATAAAGTTTTCAAAATATATAACTGTTTTACACATATTTCAGAAGCCTGGCAACTCTGGCAAAATAAGTTTTTAAAATCTTCTATTTACCCTCTACAACTTAGTATAGTTTTCATCGAAATCGGTTCAGTAGTTTTTGAGATATATCATTTTGAAAAAAGGTGTCTGCCGACCACTTTTTTGGGTTTGCAGAAAAACCATGTACCCAACCAATAGATGGCGCTGAACCGATGTCGTGACAGGGTTGCCGTGTTTTGGAAAATGCGACTAATGAAGGTATTTTTAAAATTGATATAACTTCGGAAATACTTAAGCGATCAGTTGCAGATTAGACTCAATCAATAGGTTATAATTTTTTCTACTTGTTTTTGGAAAAAATTATTCTGCCAGAGTTGCCAGGCCTGTGAAATTGATTGCAATATATTAACTTTTTTAAACATGTTAAACTTGAGAAGTACTTAAGGTTTTTGCTCAAAGTTTAAGTCATTTGAAAGGTAGTAATATAAGCTACTTGTAGTATTAAAAATTAATTTACCAGAGTTGCCAATGCTTTGAAATTTTGTAAAACAGAAATCTATATTTAAACCGTTATAACTCCTAAACTATTGGTCCGATTTGGATCAGGTTTGCATAGGATGGTAGACTTTATATGGGAGAGACGAAAAAATTGTTTGCCAGAGTTGCCAGATTGTTTATTTTGCTAGATAATTATATAATCATCATAATAGCAAAACTATAGTGCAAAGAAAGTACGACTAATGAAGATATTTGTTTAAATTGTTTTAATTTCGGAATACTCAAGGGATCATTTGGAGATAAGACTCAGTCAATAAGCTATGATTTATTCCACCTGTTCTAAGAAAAAATTATTCTACCAGAGTTGCCAGTCTTGTAAAATTGACTTCAATGTATTAACGTTTTTAAACATGTTATCCTTCGTAACTACTTGAGCTTTTTGTACAAAATTAGCGTCATTGGAAATACAGTGCTTTAAGCTACTTGTGTTATGAAAAATCAATTTACCAGAGTTGCCAAAACTTTGAAATTTTTGTAAAGTACAAATCTATATGTAACCCATTATAACTCATAACAAATGACCCGATTTGGATAAGGTTTGCATTGGATAATAGGCTTTATATGGGAAATACGAAAAATATGTCTATCAGAGTTGCCAGATTGTTTATTTTGTTATATAATTATAAAACCATCCCATGAAAAAAACTATATACAAAGAAATTTTCAGTCACTAGATTAATCATTAAATAGCAATTGGCAACTCCGGCAAAAGAAATTTTTCGTATCTTACTTTTAAATACTACCAAACAGTGCAATCCTATCCAAATCGGTTCAAGAGTTTTGGAGTTATTACCTTTTAAAAACATATCGGTTTTACACAAATATCAAAGGGTGGCAACTCTGTTGAAATAATTTTTTCTTATCTTTTGTACATACCCTATCATTTAGTGCAAATGTGATTCAAATCGGTTCAGTGGTTATAGAGTTATAACATTTTTAAAATAAACTTCTATTTTACATAAATTTCGGAGTCCTGGTAACCCTGGCAAAATAATTTTTAATACAACAAATAGCTTAAATCTATAGCTTTTGTTTGATTATAATTTTATGTTAAAAGGTTAATTACTTTCAAAGTTTTACATATTAACAGAAAGCTAATAATATGCAACACATTTCACAAGTCTGGCAACTCTGGTAAAATAAATTTTTATAACACATGTAGCCTTAATCACAGCCTAGCGGTTGACTCCATTTTCATGTAAATCGGTTAAGTATTCTGGAAGTTATAACAGTTTTAAAAATCCCTTTGTTAGTCGAATTTTCCAAAACACAACAACCCTGTCACTACATCGTGTCAGCGCCATCTATTGATGGGGTACATGGCATTTCTGCAAACGCGAACAATGTGGTCGGCAGACACAGTTTTTCAAATTGCAATAACTCAAAAACTACTGAACCGATTTTAATAAAACCCATATCAGATTGAAGGGGATAAATAGGAGTTCATAAAAACTTATTTTACCAGAGTTGCCAGGTTGTCTAAGTGTGTGTAAAATAGGCCGGATATTTTCAAAATGTTATAACTCCAAAACCAATGAACCGATTACAATCAGGTTTGCACTGTATACTAGGGTAAATAAAGGAGAAACGAAAACTTTATTTTCCAGAGTTGCCAGGTCTTTGAAAAGCGTGAAAAATAGATATAAACTGTATAATGTTACAACTCCAAAACTATTGAACTGATTTCGCTCAGGTTTACATTGGATGTTAAGGTATAAAAAGAAGAAACGAAAAATTAATTTTTCAGTGTTGCCAGGTCTGCGAAATGTGTACAAAACTGATACAAATGTAATAATGAACTAATTTCGCTAAGGTTTGCATTGGATGCGAATAATGTATTTTCAGGAGTTGCCAAATCATCATAACGCATGTAAAAGAGATATATACATATGTATATATATATATATATATGTTTTTATGATGTTATAATTCTTAAACTATTGAACCCATTTCTAACAAAATTAAATTCGATGTAAGCGTATATTAAGAAGGAACGAAAAACTAACAAAAATCGTCCAATAAAAAATGGGTTCAATAGTTCTAAAGTTATAACGTTTTGAAAGTATATATCTGTTTTACACAAATAACGAAGGTCTGGTAACTCTAGCAAATAAAATGTTTCCATTTTTATAATGTATCCTAACAACCAAGGCAACGTAAACAGTTAAATAACTTTAAGACATTATATTTTCTAACTTATCTGTTTTACTAAAATTTCGAAGGTCTGGCAACTCTGGCAAAATAAGTATTTTATAACTTATATATTTTCTTTATTCTATTATAGATGCGTTCAAAATATGTTCAATAGTTTTACAGTCGTAACATTCTAAAACATTTATAGGTTTTACACAAATTGCGAAGGTCTGGCAACCCTGGAAAATAATTTGTTCGTATCTTAATTATATACCCTAACATCCAAAAGAAACCTGATTGAAATAGTGTCAAAAGTTTTGGAGTTATAACGTTATTAAAATATATATGGGTTTTACACAAATTCCGAAGGTCTGGCAACTCTGGCAAATAAATTTTTCACATCTATCTTATGCATCCCAACACCCAATGCAAACTTCATCGAAATCGGTTTAAGAGTTTTAGAGTTATAAAGTTTTCAAAACATATAGCTGTTTTACACATATTTTAGAAGCCTGGCAACTCTGGCAAAATAAGTTTTTAAAATCTTCTATTTACCCCCTACAACTTAGTATAGTTTTCATCGAAATCGGTTCAGTAGTTTTTGAGATATATCATTTTGAAAAAATGTGTCTGCCGACCACATATTTTGGTTTTGCAGAAAAACCATGTACCCAACCAATAGATGGCGCTGAACCGATGTCGTGACAGAGTTGCCGTGTTTTGGAAAATGCGACTAATGAAGGTATTTTTAAAATTGATATAACTTCGGAAATACTTAAGCGATCAGTTGCAGATTAGACTCAATCAATAGGATATAATTTTTTCTACTTGTTTTTGGAAAAAATTATTCTGCCAGAGTTGCCAGGCTTGTGAAATTGATTACAGTGTATTAACTTTTTTAAACATGTTAAACTTAAGAAGTACTTAAGGTTTTTGCACAAAACTTAAGTCATTTGAAAGGTAGTAATTTAAGCTACTTGTGGTATTAAAAATTTATTTACCAGAGTTGCCAAAGTTTTGAAATTTTGTAAAACAGATATCTATATTTAAACCGTTATAACTCCTAAACTACTGGTCCGATTTGGATCAGGTTTGCATAGGATGGTAGACTTTATATGGGAGATACGAAAACATTTTCTGCCAGAGTTGCCAGATTGTTTATTTTGTTAGATAATTATATTATCATCATAATAGAAACACAATTGATAGAAGAAAATACGACTAATGAAGGTACATTTTAGAATTGTTATAACTTCGTAAATATTCAAGCGATCAGTTAGAGATTGAACTCATTCAATAGGTAATAATTTGTTTTACTTGTTTTAAGAAAAAATTATTCTACCAGAGTTGCCAAGCTTGTGAAACTGATTGCAATGTACTGACTTTACTTAAACATGTTATACTTCGGAAGTACTTAAGGTTTTTGCACAAAATTAAAGCCATTTGAAAGTTAGTAATTAAATCCACTTAAGGTATTAAAAAACAATTTACCAGAGTTGCCAAAGCTTTGAAATTTTTGTAAAACAGAAATCTATATTTAAAACGTTATATCTCCGAAACTATTGACCGATTTTAATCAGAATTAACGGATTTCTATTATAACATTATTAGTTTTAATATAGTTAATAAAACCAGTGTTTTCATTTACCATTTGTGGACAATAAATCTACAATCTATTTGACTAAGGAAAAATAAAAATTCCTTTTAAATGAAAAACAACAATTTTATACAAAAAAAAAATTTAAAAATCTCATTTTCATTTGTAACACTATAAACTTAATAAAAATCAATACATTTTCTATTTTATAAAATAAATTTTTAAGATTCTTTTTCAAGTAATTTCAATACTACAATTCACTTTTTTCCATAGTCATTACAACGGTATACTTTTGTTTTTTCCAAACACGATATTCAATGATACCATAACTGTAAAAAGACAAAATTCAATAATTAATTAAAATCTCAATTTTAAAATAAGATTCAAAATATTCACCCTGTGCAACCCACTAATAAAACAGTCATTAAAATCAGCAATTTGGTGGAGGTGCAGAGTTGAGAACTGATAATGTAACCTATAACTGAGCCAGTAGATTCCCACAATCTAAAATTGCTATAGCCGGCTATTAGATTTTTGGGGAATAAAATTCCATAGAAAGCTAAAAATAGATAATTAATAATATAGATTATTTAAAAATTCAAAAGAGGACAGATTAACGGTTTTTTAAAATTTAAAAGCTTTAGCATTATGTAAAAAATAACACTAATAAGCTCTTTGCGAAAGAGTTTTGTTATTAACAGCTTACTTAAAAAGCTTTCATTGCAAATTAACAGTTAACAATAAAATTGTACTGTTGGAGAAAGCTTTATGTTATTATATTCTATTATTTGTAAGTACAACAGTATATTTTGCAGTTAGGAAAAGCTTTTAAAAAGCTTGTGTTAAGTTAAAAACAGCTTTTCTAAAGCTTTTCTTGTCGACTCAACTTACCGTTGATTACCACCAACCAAACACCATCACAAATACCCCAGATGGCAGCAAAAGCACAATATTTGATAAAATCACCCTGTTTAGCTTCGTAGAAAAACATGTAGCCAAAGAGAGCTAAGTTAATTAAAGCACACAGCACAGCCAACTTAACACGACCCAATTTCTCAGCAACACCACCCGCAAAACCGGCAGCAATAGCATTGGCAACACCAAAACAAATCATAGCGAAGCCAATGTTGGAAATACCCCAACCACAGGCAACGAAGGACTAGAAAAATAACATTAATTAAAAACCGAAGGACCATAAATTGTACGAAAATACTCAATCGATTAAAACTCACCTTAGTAAAATCCACTGCCAAGAAGGCTTCCTCCAAACCAATAAACATTGTAATAGGCAGCATTAAAAGCTGACGCTTTTTCTTTAACATCTTCAAAGTGGCGGTTATAAGTTTTAAACCTGACATTTCCGTATCACCACCAGTATTTCCTTTTTTCATGCCGTATCTGCAAAAAAGCTCAAAAATTACACAATTTGTACTCAAAACCTCAACTAAACCAAACCCACCTTGTCAAAGAGTCCACACCAAAAACAATCAATATCACCGCTACAGCCATACACACCAAAAAGATGGAATTCAATAGCTGAATCTTACTAGGTTCTGGGGGTATTAGATTAGGATTAACCTCAGCCTTTACATTGGGACAGAAGCGTGCCCCACACAACTCACTAACTAAATCAGCAGCTTTAGAAGAATTGTTGGAAATTCCAGCGCTTTCATCATCTGAAGCTAGAGATAGTACAGAGGATGAGATCAAATTACCCCATACTTGGGCCATTTGGTAAAAAATAAAGAATAGACCAAAGAATTTCACTGTATTGACATCTTTTTGTGATTTTTGTCCTCGAACTTGTGTCAAAGCTTCAGCGACGGTGGAAAGGTAAGTACATTTGGCACACCATAGAGGACCACCACCAAAACCTACCATTAGACCGGCAGGTATGAGGGTTTTGAAGCGGGGATAAAATTGAGCCACTATATAGGGCATATAGGCAAAGAAGGCCAGAGCCATGGTGATTTTGACGCCAAACCACCTGAAAGAAGATAAAAGTTGATAGTTGCTTTTACATATGACTATTTTTTAGTTCAAAAATTAACTAAAACTGAACTAGAACTTAACTAGAACTGAACTAGAACTGAACTAGAACTGAACTAGAACTGAACTAGAACTGAACTAGAACTGAACTAGAACTGAACTAGAACTGAACTAGAACTGAACTAGAACTGAACTAGAACTGAACTAGAACTGAACTAGAACTGAACTAGAACTGAACTAGAACTGAACTAGAACTGAACTAGAACTGAACTAGAACTGAACTAGAACTGAACTAGAACTGAACTAGAACTGAACTAGAACTGAACTAGAACTGAACTAGAACTGAACTAGAACTGAACTAGAACTGAACTAGAACTGAACTAGAACTGAACTAGAACTGAACTAGAACTGAACTAGAACTGAACTAGAACTGAACTAGAACTGAACTAGAACTGAACTAGAACTGAACTAGAACTGAACTAGAACTGAACTAGAACTGAACTAGAACTGAACTAGAACTGAACTAGAAACCTGAACTAGAACTGAACTAGAACTTAGAACTGAACTAGAACTGAACTAACGAACTGAACTAGAAACTGAACTAGAACTGAACTAGAACTGACTAGAACTGAACTAGAACTGGAACTAGAACTTGAACTAGAACTGAACTAGAACTGAACTAGAACTGAACTAGAACTGAACTAGAACTGAACTAGAACTGAACAGAGAACTGAACTAGCACTGGAATCTAGAATGAACTAGAACTGAACTAGAACTGAAACTAGAACGGAACTATGAACTGAACAGAACTGAACTAGAACGACCTAGAACTGAACTAGAACTGACTAGAACGGAACTAGAACGGAAAACTAGAACAGAACTAGAACTGAACTAGAACTGAACTAGAAACATGAACTAGAACTGAACTAGAACTGAACTAGAACTGAACTAGAACTGAACCTAGAACTGAACTAACGGAAACTAGAACTGAACAGACCTGAACTAGAACTGAACTAGAACTGAACTAGAAACTGAAACTAGAACTGAACTAGAACTGACTAACTAGAAACTGGAACTAGAACTGAACTAGAAGACTGAACTAGAACTGAACTAGAACGGAACTAGAACTGAACTAGAACTGAACTAGAACTGACTAGAACTGAACTAGAACTGAACTAGAACTGAACTAGAACTGAACTAGAACTGAACTACGAACTGAACTAAGAACTGAACTAGAACTGAACAGAACTGAACTAGAACTGAACTAGAACTGAACTAGAACTGAACTAGAACTGAACTAGAACTGAACTAGAACTGAACTAGAACTGAACTAGAACTGAACTAGAACTGAACTAAAACTGAACTAGAACTGAACTAGAACTGAACTAGAACTGAACTAGAAACTGAACTAGAACTGAACTAGAACTGAACTAGAACTGAACTAGAACTGAACTAGAACTGAACTAGAACTGAACTAGAACTGAACTAGAACTGAACTAGAACTGAACTAGAACTGAACTAGAACTGAACTAGAACTGAACTGGAACTGAACTAGAACTGAACCAGAACTGAACTAGAACTAAACAAGAACTGAACTGGACTAGTCTAGTCTATATTCAAAAAAATCTATTAGCCATTAAAATATCAGCCAATTACTCCTTTGATTATCTAGCTATTTATGCCCATTCATATTTCATGTTTAATTGGCATCATTTGATAACTAAATAGTTTTTACGATAACACCATTAAACTATTAAACTTTTATTGTTTTTTTAGTGGTAGCTTATAATTTATTGATAAATCAATAAATCATTAGCTTAATAATAAATTAAAATGGCCATTAAATCACATCAACAAAAGTTTTATGTTTTTTATTACAATATCTAATATATTGAGCGCAGTTAAATTAGTTTGTATTGGCTTTAAAAATATTTTAAATTTATAATATACCAATGCGCTTTATTTTTAATATTTCTACTCCAGGAATTACAAAATAAACTATTAATATAATCCTTTCCCTTAAGTAAAAACTCAATAAAAATCAGTAACTTTAGGAATGTATAATATCTTTATAATAACTTTTGCTTTTATAAAGACAGCATAAAAATAAATTCCTTAAGGCCTTAACATAGACAATACAATAAACATTCCCTTACGAGCCTAAAAGTATGCATTTAATTAATTGAAATCTATTGTTTTGCTCATGTCTTCAACTCCTCAAAAACAAAATGAAATTCCTTTGGGCTTGCATTGAAACCAAAAAGGCAAAAAAATATACCATATAATGTGTAGCCATAGTAATTAATTGAATAAAGTGTTTACGATTATTTTATTATGACAGAAACGCAACCAACACCTAATGTTAGACTTTAAAAACCAGCTGTTACAGTATAAAATTTTATTTCATTAGCAACAAGACTTTATACACAACTCTTTAAACCACAAAATGGCAAATATTTTTAGTCTTATATTTTTAAAGTTTTTCCTTTTGTATTTTGGAATATTTTTCTGCGCCTAAAATCATTTTGCTATAAAATTTATATTAACTAAATTAATTAACACATTTTATATCCAAGAATATAATTGAGCTATAAAAAATTAATATTGATACGTTGTGGGTGGAAAATTAAGAGATTTTATTACTAAATGAAAGTGATTAAAATGAGATATGAAAATGTGTTAAAATCCTATAAATAGGCTATAAAATTGGATTATTATTACACTCGGATGTGGTTTTAAAAAAGAAAAAATCTTAAACAAAAAAATAATAGAAAATTTAAATAAATAATGACTGACTGAACTAGAACTAGAACTGAACTAGAACTGAACTAGAACTGAACTAGAACTGAACTAGAACTGAACTAGAACTGAACTAGAACTGAACTAGAACTGAACTAGAACTGAACTAGAACTGAACTAGAACTGAACTAGAACTGAACTAGAACTGAACTAGAACTGAACTAGAACTGAACTAGAACTGAACTAGAACTGAACTAGAACTGAACTAGAACTGAACTAGAACTGAACTAGAACTGAACTAGAACTGAACTAGAACTGAACTAGAACTGAACTAGAACTGAACTAGAACTGAACTAGAACTGAACTAGAACTGAACTAGAACTGAACTAGAACTGAACTAGACTAAGAACTGAACTAGAACTGAACTAGACTGAACTAGAACTGAACTAGAACTGAACTAGAACTGACTAGAACTGAACTAGAAACTGAACTAGAACTGAACTAGAACGACTAGACTGAACTAGAAACTGAACTAGAACTGAAATAACTGAACTAGAACTGAACTAGAACTGAACTAGAACTGAACTAGAACTGAACTAGAACTGAACTAGAACTGAACTAGAACTGAACTAGAACTGGAACTAGAACTGAACTAGAACTGAACTAGAACTGAACTAGAACTGAACTAGAACTGAACTAGAACTGCACTAGAACTGAACAAAACTGAACTAGAACTGAATAAATTCTTTTGGATCAAAATAGCTTTTCCTCTCTTAAACAAGATTGTTTTTATTTTAAAAATATAAATAATATATTCTATAACTTCTCCTGCAAGTATGCAACACTTTATAAAAACACCCAAAAACAACATACATATATCTGCTTTGATAAAATATATAAAAAATGTAAAGGATTTACGAAGTTTTTAGAATAATATGATACTAAATACTAAATCAACTTTAAATTACCCTTAACGTTTTAGAATGAATAAAATGTGTTATTAAAACTAAAAATAATAAAATCTTATTTTACTTGAAATAACTTAAATAGAATTAAAAACTTAATACCAAACAGAAACATAACTTAAAGCAACACTTAAACATAAAAGCATATACATATATACTCCTATAAGTATGCAATATAGAAAATATTTTGCAATTCCTAAAAGTATACTATACGTTTCAACACCACCCCCTTAATCAACCCTACAAAAAGAAGTATATATTAAATTCTTCCTATATATCAATTTCAAGCATTAAATAACTTCCCCTCTTTGCAAAAGTTGCTATCTGGCCCCTAAAAATATGCACATAAATTTCTTATTTATATTAATATATAGCTTTGCTTTGTTTTAAATAATAAACCTCTTTAGAAAACTCCTTGTTTTTTGACTCTTTGATTAAACATTTACAAAAATTTGTATGTTTAAAAGACTCGCAGTAGCAGCACAACAAAGCTGAGAGACATAAATAACAAAAACAGTTTTTTTGCTATTAAGTTGAAATATCAAACAAAAATCCTTTAATAGGATTTTTACAGACATTTAGAGGCTTAAAACAAATATAGCAACCAAACAGCACACAAAAAGACAAATATTAAACCTCTACAAAAACTACAACAACTATTCTTTGAAGCAAATTTTATTTTCACACAGGCACCACTTCAGCTATTAAGGTTTAAAATGAAAACAGAAAAACAACAATTGTACTTCGTTAGGGTTTTAAAGAGAGTCCCTTTAAAGGATTTTATTATTAAAAATTAATTTTTTTTTCACTTAGATGGGGGAATATGTGTTTTTTTGTAAATATTTAAACCAGATTTTAGCTGTAGGCTTACAAGTTGTTTTAAAAAGTTCTGCTAAGAGTTCAAGGTTAAAGCAATTTTAATTTCTATTTTATTTTGGCAGACAGACTTTGAGAGGGTGTCATAGTATTAAGATTCTTTTTGATAATTTGTTTATTTAGACAAAAAATAAAAACTATTAACATTAACACTTTACCTCCTTTGGCAAAGACGAAAAAGTTTACTTTTTTAGGTTGTTAAGTGCAAATAAAAAAGTGTACATTAATAGTTTTATTATGTTCTTAGATAATAGTTTTTAATGTTTAATATAAATTCCCTTTGAATTAGCTTTTAAGCAATATTTTACTTATTTAAGCCTCGACTGATTAATAAATGCATAATCAGTTTGTTATCTCATTTGCTGTTTTTGACTATAATCAGAGTAAAGACTACAACACAGACTATAGTCTATAATCCAGACGATAGTCTGTGGTACAGTTTATAGTACAGACTTTAGTCTATAGTCCACACCATAATCAATAATCCAGACCAATGTCCATAGTCCAGTCCACAGTCTATAATCGACACTAAAGTCTATAATCCATACTATAGTCTATAATACAGACTATGGTGAATATTCCAAACTATAGTCTATAGTCGAGACTATAGTCTATAGTCCAGAATATAGTCTATAGTTCAGACTATAGTCTATAAACCTGACTATAATCTCCACTTCAATCTATAATTCACACTATAGTCTATAGTCCAAACTATAGTCAAGACTATAGTCCAGACTATATGTAGTCGTTAGACCCGACTATAGTTTATAGTCCCGTCTATAGTCCGAACATGGGCTATAGTCCAGACTACGAAATATAGTCCCGACTATAGTCTGTAGTCCAGACTATGGTCTATAGTTTAGACTATAGTGTATAGTCCCGACTATAGTCTATAGTCCCGACTGTAGTTTATAGTTCCGAATATAGTCTATAGTCCCGACTATAGCCTATAGTCCCGACTACTGTCTATAGTCCTGACTATAGTCTGTAGTCCCGACTATAGTCCTATAGACTATAGTCTATAGTCCCGACTATAGTCCATAGTATCGACTTTAGTCAAATCTATAGTCTATAGTACCATCTATAGTCTGCAGTCACAACTATGGACTGTAGTCTGACAAGCTATCATTGATGTCTTATTGACTACTATATTTATTGCCTTAACAACAAAAAAAAAAATACCATGAATTTATTGCATACTTTTAGGTACAAATTGACAAGCTCATTAATTTGTATTTTTCTTACATTTTTGCTCTCTTTACATGAATCAATAAAGACAAGGTCAACCATAAATCTAAGGTCAATAAAATTTGTCAAATTGTTGTTATTTTGTTGTTCTTTTTTATTCTTTTGAACCAAACAATTTAAAACAAATTTATAGCAAAATAGAAAAAAATATATAAAGATAATTTCATAACACAGACACAACACTACCAAACAAACACACACAAACACAACAATTTGACACACTTACCTTATCACTGTCATGGGCAGAAAAATATTCGATAATATTAATGAACCATAAATGACCGCTAAAGTTGTTGTGCCCAATGCTTTATCCGAATTGACAGAGCTCTGTAGATTTGAGGTGCCATGGAAGGCAGTGAAGTGTATCATAAATGCCAGTCCAATGATGATGACATTCTTCGTAATGATAAAACGTTCTCTTGATTCATACTGACTAACAGTCGTCACGCCGGCTTCCTCTACACTAGGTGATTTTGTGTCATTTGTTAAAGTTGTATTATGTCCATTGCCATTTGTTGTATGTCCATTGCCATTCAATGGGACAAGCTCACGGTCTGTAAGATCAATGGCAGCAGCATCCATCACTATTGATTAACAATAGCAACCAGCAGACAATTGTTGCAATAAATCAATAGAAAAATAAACTTTAGCAAATTGTGGCCAAAGTAATTGATCTGAAAATAAAAGGGAAAACAAAAGCATATTCTTAGAAAAAGGTATACATTTTGGAATTCGTTATCTTAAAAACACAAGTTTTTCTTTAAGTATAAATCTTATTTTTTATGGTTTAATATTTTATTGATTGTCACCTGCACATAGATATCAATAAATTTTAGCTTTTATTGCAACAATTAAAGTGCTTGTTTTTATTTATATGCTTTAGCTAATATTAACTTCTTTCATATTGAATTTAATCCCATCAAATAAAAAGAAAATAAATAACAGCTGCGTGAAAAGCAATATCAATTCTGTGAGAATTAATTTTGAAAAAGTCTGGATTTGCAAAATAAATTTTAGAACAAAAAAATCCAAGCAATTCATAAAAATCCAGTGTATCCCAAGTTGTAGATCAGTTATAGTTCAGTTCTAGTTCAGTGCTAGTTCAGTTCTAGTTCAGTTCTAGTTCAGTTCTAGTTCAGTTCTAGTTCAGTTCTAGTTCAGTTCTAGTTCAGTTCTAGTTCAGTTCTAGTTCAGTTCTAGTTCAGTTCTAGTTCAGTTCTAGTTCAGTTCTAGTTCAGTTCTAGTTCAGTTCTAGTTCAGTTCTAGTTCAGTTCTAGTTCAGTTCTAGTTCAGTTCTAGTTCAGTTCTAGTTCAGTTCTAGTTCAGTTCTAGTTCAGTTCTAGTTCAGTTCAGTTCTAGTTCAGTTCTAGTTCAGTTCTAGTTCAGTTCTAGTTCAGTTCTAGTTCAGTTCTAGTTCAGTTTAGTCAGTTCTAGTTCAGTTCTAGTTCATTCTAGTTCAGTTCTAGTTCAGTTCTAGTCAGTTCTAGTTCAGTCTAGTTCAGTTCTAGTTCAGTTCTAGTTCAGTTCTAGTTCAGTTCTAGTTCAGTTCTAGTCAGTTCTAGTTCAGTTCTAGTTCAGTTCTAGTTTCAGTTCTAGTTCAGTTCCTAGTTCAGTTTCTAGTTCAGTTCTAGTTTGCAGTTCTAGTTCAGTTCTAGTTCAGTTTCTAGTTCAGTTCTAGTTCAGTTCTAGTTCAGTTCTAGTTCCGTTCTAGTTCAGTTCTAGTTCAGTTCTAGTTCAGTTCTAGTTCAGTTCTAGTTCAGTTCTAGTTCAGTTCTCGTTCAGTTCCTAGTTGCAGTTCTAGTTCAGTCTAGTTCAGTTCTAGTTCATTCTAGTTCAGTTCTAGTTCAGTTCTCTAGTTCAGTTCTATTCAGTTCTAGTTCGTTGCTAAGTTTCAGTTCTAGTTCAGTTCTAGTTCAGTTCTAGTTCAGTTCTAGTTCAGTTCTAGTTCAGTTTCAGTAGTCTAGTCAGTTCTAGTTCAGTTCTAGTTCAGTTCTAGTTCAGTTCTAGTTCAGTTTAGTTCAGTTCTAGTTCAGTTCTAGTTCAGTTCTAGTTCAGTTCTAGTTCAGTTCTAGTTCAGTTCTAGTTCAGTTTCTAGTTCAGTTTCTAGTTCAGTAGTTCAGTAGTTCAGTTCTAGTTCAGTTCTAGTTCAGTTCTAGTTCAGTTCTAGTTCAGTTCTAGTTCAGTTCTAGTTCAGTTTCTAGTTCAGTTCTAGTTCAGTTCTAGTTCAGTTCTAGTTCAGTTCTAGTTCAGTTCTAGTTCAGTTCTAGTTCAGTTCTAGTTCAGTTCTAGTCCAGTACTATTTCAATAATAGTTCAGTTAGAATTTTTGCTACATTTATATAAAGTAAAATTGTTTTAAAGCCATTATCACTGCATCATAAGCAATATGTCAATTGTTCACCGTTCATGGCTCGGCTCAAAAAATATAAATTTATAAACATTGAGGTCATGCTGTCAAACAACAAACAAAAAACTACTCACAAAATACTATTGCTAGACACAATCATAAAACCAATACATTTGTACATCTTAACCATATATTTTGACATCAGGTGAAGAGAGAGTTTGTATTTATTTTTTGTGAGGATTGTATGTTTGTGTACATGTTTGTGTATCCGGTTTCCGTATATAGAGCAAATATTCTTAAATGATGTGTTTGTGATAGTAATGGTTTTATTGTTGGTTTTTGGCTCCCTTATTTTTCACAATTTCAATGTTGGTATTGTAGTTAGTGTCTTGCTATGTATGTATGTGTGTTGATTCTGTCATATCAATAAACTGAAAACAATTTACGATCTCAAGTGTTTTATTTGATGTGAAATGGCAGCAACAAAAAACCAACAGTCAATAAAATATATCACGTATATGTTTTACACTGTTCCTTCTTCATTCCACCTACATTCTCACTGCAGCAATATTTCCTATTGTTGTTAATTGTTGGGATACAAAGTGCGTTGGACTTAATGTATATAACCATAAAATACCATTGATATATTAAAAGTTAAATTCTTACAAACTGAGAACACAAGACAATGACACCAAACATTTAAGCCAGACAAAACGTATCTACCAAATAATCTCTTTTAGTTAAAATTCACATCACATAATTTATATGCTCGAGTTTATTTTTGCTGCAAAACGAAGTCAAAAATTCTAGATTTTGTTCAAAACTAATAACTCTTTCAAAGTGAAATGATGAGCATTCAAAGTCGTCAAGGTCACAGCAGTATGAGTGGTAAACCAAATTACATTTTTATTTAAATGATGATACTAAACAGATATGCAAACACCTCCATTTAAATGTGTATGTATGTTTGTTTGTTTGTATTTATGTACATAAGATGCCATAAAATTGTCACACAAAAATCATGTTAGATTAAATTGAATTTCTGTTGTGGTTTGTTGTAAGTGGGGAAGTGTGTTGTGGTTATTTATGTGTGTAAGTTTATACTGCTAGAAATTTGAATAAAGAACTGAACTAGAACTGAACTATAATTGAACAAGAACTGAATTAGAACTAAACTAGAATTGAACTATAACTGCAGAACTTTAACACTGTTCACACTTTTAAATATACAACCGTATTCAAATTATCTGTAGTGTGTGACTACACATGAGACCTGGAAAAAAACCATAACAAGTAAAGGTACAGGTGTTAAATAAATTTCATTACTTTGCATGTGTGCCGGCATTTCTGTATATATGTTACACTTATGATGTGTCTATGTAGGTTTTTGAAGTGTTTTATAGCCTTTAATGCTTGTTTTGTTTCCAAAAAAAGATACGAATATCAAACCTTTATATAAGCAGCCATAGAAACAGCATGTCATACGATTTGCATGGCTTTTAGCCATTTCTGTTTGCTTATTTTGTACATCTACTAACCCAGTCCGATGCGCAATCTACAAAAATCTTGGTACCACCTTAGGCGACAAAAATACAAATACAAAATATGTGTACATACATATGTGATGAAATTCAGTTGTGTTTTCTATTTTCATTTAGTTTGGCTTTTCAGTAGATCTGTATATCAGTTGTATGCGCTTTTATCGTGTGTAGTAAACATACTATATTTTCCCTTTTTATTCAAGGGTTATGATGAAATGCTTAATGCTAAATATTGACATTTTATATGCCCTTGCATTTATTGTCTCATGAATTTTTATGATATGTCGATATGACATGTACTTGAACCCGAATATAGAAAATAATATGATTTATCATTATGTGCGATGTTTGCTGTATTTCTATTTCGTTTATAAAGCCAAATGATAATTTAGTTTATGCTACAGTTGTTAAATGTATCAAAATGTTCAAAATCATAGGCATCATTATGCGTTAGAAATCAATGTAAGAGATAATGCAAAACATGGTTGTAACGAAATTTATCTATACTACAACTACTCTAGTCTATAGTCTAGCCTAGTGTATAGTATAGTGTATAGTCTAGTCTATAGTCTAGTCTATAGTCTAGTCTATAGTCTAGTCTATAGTCTAGTCTATAGTCTAATCTATAGTCTAGTCTATAGTCTAGTCTATAGTCTAGTCTATAGTCTAGTCTATAGTCTAGTCTATAATCTAGTCTATAGTCTAGTCTATAGTCTAGTCTATAGTCTAGTCTATAGTCTAGTCTATAGTCTAGTCTACAGTCTAGTCTATAATCTAGTCTATAGTCTAGTCTACAGTCTAGTCTATAATCTAGTCTATAGTCTAGTCTATAGTCTAGTCTATAGTCTAGTCTATAGTCTAGTCTATAGTCTAGTCTATAGTCTAGTCTATAGTCTAGTCTATAGTCTAGTCTATAGTCTAGTCTATAGTCTAGTCTAGTCTAGTAGTCATAGTCTAGTCTAGTCTAGTCTATAGTCTAGTCTATAGTCTAGTCTATAGTCTAGTCTAGTCTAGTCTATAGTCTAGTCTAGTCTATAGTCTAGTCTGTCTATAGTCTAGTCTAGTCTATAGTCTAGTCTAGTCTATAGTCTAGTCTATAGTCTAGTCTATAGTCTAGTCTATAGTTCTATAGTCTAGTCCTAGTCATAGTCTAGTCTATAGTCTAGTCGATAGTCTAGTCTAGTCTATAGTCTAGTCTAAGTCTATAGTCTAGTCTAGTCTATAGTCTAGTCTAGTCTAGTTAGTCTAGTCTATAGTCTAGTCTATAGTCTAGCTTATAGTCTAGTCTATAGTCTAGTCTATAGTCTAGTCTATAGTCTAGTCTATAGTCTAGTCTATAGTCTAGTCTATAGTCTAGTCTATAGTCTAGTCTATAGTCTAGTCTATAGTCTAGTCTATAGTCTAGTCTATAGTCTAGTCTATAGTCTAGGTCTATAGTCTAGTCTATAGTCTAGTCTATAGTATAGGTCTATAGTCTTAGTCTCTAAGTCTAGTCTATAGTCTAGTCTATAGTCTAGTCTATAGTCTAGTCTATAGTCTAGTCCTATAGCTAGTCTATAGTCTAGTCTATAGTCTAGTCTATAGTCTAGTCTATAGTCTAGTCTATAGTCTAGTCTATAATCTAGTCTATAGTCTAGTCTATAGTCTAGTCTATAGTCTAGTCTATAATCTAGTCTATAGTCTAGTCTATAGTCTAGTCTATAGTCTAGTTATAGTCTAGTCTATAGTCTAGTCTATAGTCTAGTCTATAGTCTAGTCAATAGTCTAGTCTAGTCTATAGTCTAGTC